TCAGTGTTTCAATTCTACTAAATCATTTCCATCAGCATGTAAACACGCTGATATTTCAGTCATCTTTATAAAAATCCCTTTTCTTGACCCGACTTCTCCAGCCAATGAGCACTCCATGTTTTTACTCTCCCTTACAGCTAAAATCCTCAAAAGAGTAGCCTATACTTGCTGTCTCCAGTTTCCCTTCTCCCACTCTCTGGTAATTGACCTCCTGATCTTCCCCTCCAACAAAACCTGCCTGTCCCACAGCCTATGCCATCCATGCCACGGGTCTAACACTCCTCCCACATAAGGCTGCTGTGCAAACAAGACACAGATGCAAAGAACCCAGCCCAGCTCCATGCACACAGCTGTCACTCAGGACAGTAACAGTTCCTATAACCATCATGAAGAGAGGGAAGACCAAAGGATACTCTTTGGGAAAGGAAGTTGGGAGATGGAGGAGAATCGAGAACAGGTGCTGGGGAGACAGCCTGGATGTGGGGCTCCAGGAGCACACTCCTGAGGGTAGAGCCACAGGGCAGAGCAGGTGGGGGCAGGTGGGAGTGGGGGAGCCTGAAGAGGTGCAGCTAGAAGTCAAGCCTGAACCCAGGACCAGCCCAGAAAAGCCCAACTGTGCCAGAGACTTCGGATCTGTCTGGATCTCAAGCCCAGAGGAGACAGTAAAGCACACAGATTAAATACCCAAAAAAAACTCCCCAGAGGCTTCACCAGAGAGGGTCTGAGAGTTATCCCCTTGCCATTCCAGCCCTCAAAGATTCTCTTCCAAAGACTCAGACCTCAATGGCAGTTAATGGCATGCTGTTTAGCACTTCCCTGTCCAGTTGGAGTCTAAGGGACCCAATGGCTGAGATCTGGTCTCCCCAGAGACACCCCCAAGCTTCGCCAGGGCAGGAGGCACCCGTACGTCCCCAAGGAGCCCTCTGCTCCTCAGGTAGTCCCAGATTGCTAAAGAGGAGGCAGGAATTTTCCCACCCAAGATGAGAGTATAAGGAATCCTAACTGTTTTTATATTTCCTTTAGGCCTTCATTCAAATAGCATCTTCTGGGTGAGAACTTCTTTGGCCTCCCCTCGAAGGGATCAATTCTGCATGCCCCCTCCATATATACCCAGTTCCTACCTCCCTCCCCTGCTTTATTTTTCCTCCTTAGCACTGGTCATATCAGACTGTATATTTAATTTACATCCCCACCAGAATGAAGCTCCAATGAACCATGAATTTTTGTTTGTTTTGTCCACTCTGTATCTATAGCTCTTAGAACAGTGCCTGGAACACAGTAGGAGCTCAAAATATTTTCTTCAAATGAATGAATGATTAGCTCCACTTATTTGAGTGCTCGCCGTCTGCTAGGGACTGTTCTCCATCTGTGTACAACACCTCACTGAGCTCATTTCACCTCCATAACCGCCCCGGGAGGTAGCGTAATTATCTACACTTTCAGGAGGAGGACAGTGAGTCTCCAAGAGGGAAAAATCACTGAAGTTCACGTCATTTCTACGTGGCAGGGCTGGGCAGAGATCTGCCTGGCTCCAAAGCCTTAACCATTACTTGTACAAGACAAGCTGGCTTCAGGGGGAGGAGAGAAGGTCTGGATAGGGCTAAAGGAAGAAGCAACAGAAAACCTCTGGAAGAAACTGCTCAGTACTCTAGACCAGCGCCATCTAGGAGAACTTTCTGGGAGGATGGAAATGCTCTATATCTGCCCTGTCCGGTAGCAGTGTCACATGTGTCACACGAGTCACATGTGCTATTGAGCACTTGCATGTGGCTAGTGCAACTAAGGAACTACATTTTTAATTTGACTTCATTTTAATTAATTTAAATTTAAATAGCCACACATAGTAAGTGGCTATCGTATAGGAGAGCACAGCTCTAGACCTTTAAGACTCACCAGGAAAAGCCCAGATGTGGTGATGGGGATGCTCTCACTCACTGGGTCAGGCAGGCAGGCCTGGTGGGAAGGGGAAGTGGGGGAGAGGGGAGGGGTGCACATGAACAGCAAGCCAGCACCTGGGTGCTTTGTGTAATCCTCACGAACACCCAGCAAGGGGAGGATGTGTTTACCCAGTTCGCAGGGGAAGATGCTGAGGGTCAGAGATGAGGTCCTGCTGTCAGGGTCAGTGTGCCTGCCGCCTCGGGTCTGGGTCCTCAACTGGAGGAGCTTTCTGTATCCATCTTCCCCCGCCCCCTAGAAGGTTTGTCCTTGGGTAGTTGGTCCCAAGCAGATCAGAGAGCTGGGTCCTCTCAGGGATTGACACTTGACCATTTTCAAGCTCCTTTCAGGGTGCAGTCCGTGTGGCTGGTCCCACACAGGCCCCCTAGGGCTGTGCACGCTCTCAATCAATGTTTGCTGCAGTGAATAAACAAGGGGCAGAGCCAAAGCAGGGAGAAATTTCTGGCAACTAGAAGCCCGATGGGGGAGGGCCTTCATTCAGTTCTCAGTCACACTGGTTAGCTAGCCATCCTCAGATTTGTGAAGCACGACGGGCATTTGTTGAAAAGGACATTTCTCAAGCTTCACTCCCAGATATGTCTCTTTGGTAAATCTGGGGTGGGGACCAAGAATCAGCATTTTTGTCAAGCCCCTATCCCTCAACCCCCAACATACACACACACACACACCAATTCTGGCACAGCTAGACCCAGAACTTTTGAGAAATACTGATTTAGGGTGAGGCTAGGAATGCAGGTAGGCACTGAGGGCAGGAAGAGATTGCCCTAAAGGGAAGATCAGAAGTTGAAACAGGACTTTGAGAGACTTAAAGGTGAACGTGCTTGTTTTGCGCACCGTCCTGCAATGCAGAAGGCAGAAGGAGCCTGAGTCATCCGTGTCCAGGCTTCCACGCCCAGCTCCTAAGTCCCAGCTAGTCCAGGCCCCAGATGGCAAGTACACCTGAGCAGCCCTGCCAGCTGGTGGGCCTATGGGCAGCCACTGGGCCCAGGGGAAGCACGCTGCCTGGCTAGAAGAGCCCGTAGCCTGGAGAGCCAGCGGATTTCCCCTCTAAACCAACTCCAGCTACCGCTCCCCTCTCAGCCCCTCACTTCTCCAAAGCGAGACATCTCACAGTCATTTGCTCCATGCTTCCTGTACGATGTCTTTATTTTTACTCTCAAGTTTGTGGGCTGAGTCTGTGTGGGTGTGGGAGGGGAGCTGGGTATTTTCTACCCCTCTGCATTTTCCTTCTGCGATGGGAGGGCTTTCACTTCCTCCCCAAACTCTCGGTTCTGCCTTTCATGGCCGTTCAGGCTTTGAGACCATCTTGCCTGTCCCTCCTGAGGACCAGGGAAACAGAGAACTGACTGCAACTGGCTACCCCCGAAGTGCCTTGTAACCACTTAGGAGCCAAAGGAAGCCGCAGCCACAGTAGTAACCTCCCTGGGGCAGGTGAACTGGGGTGTTGTGTGAGGAGCAACAGAGGCAGGCAGGGAAGCCTTGCTCACTCCTGGGGCCACCCCAGGCCTCAACCCTGCCTTGCATCCCTCTAACACCACGGTGGGCAAGCCGAGGTCTCCACTTCCCTTTCCTTGACCTCTTCTGCCCCAGCTCTTAGGCAGCAGGGGTGACTCCCAGCTTGCCCCCAACACCCCCGCAGCTCTGGCTTCTGGGTTAGTTCTGTGTTTTAGGAGTCTTGGAGATCTACACACTGGAGCACAGGGCATGGAGGGGTGGACCTCCACCAACCAGGCCTGACGACCTCCCATCCCAATCTTTCTGAACCTCAGGCTCCTCTTTGGAACAAGGTCTATTTAGATCCAATGGAGGATTAGAAAACATATGTAAAGTACAGGACGCCTCAATCGACAGGGGCTGTTACTGGTGGGAGTAATACATGTGTGCTGAGAAAAGAAATCAATTTATTTTCTTCTTTCAAGCACAAGGAACACAACTATCCAGAAAGCAAAGAGAGCTGCAGGCACACCAGCCCCTAGCTCTAGAAAGTTATCTCCCAGCAGGGTGAGATCAGGCTGAGGGTGTTCACCCAGGGTGGGAGCACAATGCAACCCAGCAGTGGCTAGAGTCCCCCGTCTCCCCAGCCATCTGTTCCCAGAAGCCTGCCTGCTGCCCCCTTAGTTTTCCGTCGTATCCTCAAAGAAGCTCTCAGACCCTAAAATAAACCTCTGGAGAAGCAGTTGCCCAGTTGTCTAGAGGAGAGACTGGACAGGCAGCTGGGCATGCCGCCAGAGCACATAGAAAGGCCTGGCTGCTGGGGGCAGATTACAGTCAACAGGAGCAACAAGTGCCTACTGCCCTCTGCCTCACCCCTCCTTCTATCGTCAGGAAGGGGAGTCCAGTGCGCGCTGGCCCCAAGACGTCCCAATCCCCGGCCAACCTCCCCACTTAGGTTAAATTCTCAGGGCTGGGGTACACAGTTTGCTAGAGCTGGTGTCTACTGGAGCAAGTGCGTGCAGCGGGAGGGTCCATGACTCAGCGCCCATGATGTCAGTCCCTTCACAGTCAGGGCACTGTCATCCACACATACACCCAGGGGGCTGAAGGGAGAGCCAGGCGAGGTGGCACCCCCTCCCCCCTCAAAGCTAAGAGGCAAGAGCGGCGCTGGTACAAAGAACGTCCCAGGAGCGAACTCCACCCCGCTAGGGCGCGCACTTGCGGGCATCTCCCCTTAGAGTAACCCGGGGCGCAGTTGTGTAAAGGCTCTTGGGGGCACCGGGAATGAGACACGTGAATCAGGTTTCTGAATACACACCAAGTGCTGTACGCAGACCGCAGACGCTGCCCGGCCACAGGGCAGTTAAGCAGAGCGCGCCGGCCAAAGGCGCAGGACACAGCAGGGGTCGCACCAGCGACCGCCCGCGTCAGAACAGCTGGGCCAGCCCGGAGCCCGCATCTTGTGCCCGCGGGGACCTAAGCTAGCCACTGAAAAGGAGAACCGTCCTCCCTCTTTTCCTCCCTCTCGCCACCCGCAGTCTGCGGCGGCCACAGCGGTTTGCCCCACCCGCCAGCTGCCCCAGCCCTCCAGGTGCGCTCGAAGCCCTTACCCAGCGCGGGGCAGCCCCCTTGGGCCAGAGCCGCCCCCGGCGCGGCAAGCAGGGCGGTCAGCAGCGCGCAGCAGACGGCCAGCATGCTTCCTCCTCCGCTAATGCCCCATGGTCCCGGAGCTGCGGGCGGGCGGGCGGGCGGGTCGGACGGAGCGGCCGGGGCGGGGCGGGGCGGCGGGCGGGCTCAGGCCCCGAGGGCAGCCCCCATCCCCGGGGGGGGCCGCGCTCCGCACGCACGGCGAGTCCCGGAGCCCCGCGCCGCGCTCGGCTCTGCTCCCTCTGGCCGAGCTCGGTGTCAGTGCGACTTCCCACTTGCACATGACTCAGAGCGGCGGGCAGTCCCGGCAACGCAGGAAAACATTTGAGGAACTCGCGCTGGAGTGTCTCTAGGCCGTCCCAGGGTGCTGTTAGAAAAGTCCGAGCGGATGGCGCAACAGCCCCGCGTACCGGCGGACCAGAGTGGGTGGCTTTCTGCCGCAGCACCGCACCTGAGCCGCGAGGGCCGGAGACCCCGAGCCCGGCAGGGGCGAGCTCTACCAGGACCCCTCCCCCGGTTCTGTTGGTGAGAGGAGGGGAGTTAGACAGCACTGGCTTTTTTTGATCTTGGGTTTGGTGAACAGGATTACGCTGTGAAAAGAACACCTGGAGAGCCCTTGAGGAGGCGATGTGCCTCTTTCTGTTTTGGTAAATCAGTGCTTGGCAGCCTGGGTTGCCGCTTGGTATCACCTGAGGAACCCTAAAAACCCCCGATGTCTGGGCCCCCCCTCCCAGAGATTCTGATTTAATCGATCTGAGATGAGGCTTAGACATCGGAAGACTCATTGCCGTGGAGGTACATTCTCTCTCCGTGCCGCCTGTTCCTCGCAGCAAGGCAAGGAGACGGGTCAGGCTTTGGAAACAGGCAGGTAGACCCGCGTTCCCAGCCAGACCTCCACCTCCTGGGTCTGTGACTGCTGTTCGCACTCTGAGTTTCTGCTTCCTCGTCTGTCAGATAGAGATAAGAAAGCCTGTACTGGCCAGTATGCTTATGAAGACCCCAGGAGACTCATCCCCACACCTGACACAGGGTGTGGACCGCAGGTGCTCAATCGATGTCAAAACCTGCCTGTCCACCCTCCCGATTTGACAGATAGAAACTCGTTCTTGGGTTTCAGGAGCAACCACAAAGACCTCTTGAAAGGGTCCACCAAGGTTACCCAGGGAGCACGAAGCTGACAGGGTGGCCTCAGAGCCGGGTTTGGAGGAAACGAAAAATGCTGAAATAAGGTCTAGGCTGAGAAGCTTTTGGACCAGCAACTGCTCATTAGAATGTGCTTTTTCATTTTGGGCTTCAGGCTGATCCTAATGAGGCTCAAGGTTCCTGGGGTAGCTGGAATGGGCACGGCCTGCAAGGAGTCCCGAAGTGGATAGGACCTGGCATGAAGGAACAGAGCTTCTGAAATGCAGCCCTCAGACCCAGTACATCTGGGTCTCTCTGTGGGAACCACCTACCAGCAGTGCTGGGTAGAACCAGGCACATGCCCTGACCCACCCGTGACGGAGGCTGGCCTGGACAGGCTCGCTTCAGCCACACCCATCAGCAGGGAAAGAAAGGCAGTTGGGAGGGTAGCTCTTTTGGACACTAGCCCTCTCTCCTTCTGTTTGAAATGGGGTTGCAGCAGGGCTGGAAGGTGGCTCCTACTGTGTTGTCCCCTTCCCCTCTATTTGTGGCAGATGCAGCCCTGAAAATAATCAAAAGAGGACTACAGGCTGCCAGCCTGAAACCAGAAGGCTGCAGAAAGCCCTGCTCAGATAGGACAGTGTGAAAGAAGGATGTGGAAGCCCAAGAACAGGTGTCTCAGACCCCACCTGGCTTCTGCGCCAAAGTGGGCCTCCCCCTCTCGAACCCACCAGTGTTCAGCCTGTGTCCCGGAGTCAGACAGATGGAGTTCCCATCCCAGCTCTGCCACTTGCTGGCTATGTGACTTGGGCAAGTTATTTAATCTTTCTGAACCTCTATTTCCTGATTTGTAAAATGAGAGCAATAAAACTCAAATTTTGGTATTGTGGTTCAAATTAAAATATCTGGTCCATCTTTATTTTCTCAGCCTCATTTTCTGCATCTCCTTGCCCATGAATATAATTATTTTTCAACAATATTATTTATGGTGTCTCACCTCCACAGCTTTGTCCAAGCTACTCCCTCTGCCAGAAATTCCCCTCCTTTGTCCCACACCGGACTCACTGTTTTCCGGCTCAGCTGGGCTGTCTTCTCCAGGAAGGCATCCGGTCTCTTCTCTACTTCCCTGGAACCCTATCTTCCACAAGGTCGGATTAGGTGCTCCATCTCTGTGCTGCCTCAAAAACTTTGTTCACCCCCTACCGCCTTCCTCCCTGCCACACCACAAAGCTCATCTCTGTATCCCCACTGCTGAGCAGGGCTTTTGACTGGGAGATGTGGCCCTCCCTGGAGGGAGCAAGCTCCCTGACATCTGTCACTCCCCATCTGAACTCTACACTAAGTGAAGGTTCAAAATTCATGGGCCAACATTCCAGACTCTGTGACAACAACCACTGATAAGGAAGAGAAGGCAGCACACCTGCACAGTTCAGCCTGACCTGCCCTCTCCCGGATCTGATTCCTGATGCTAGCACCCATGCGGGCACCAGCATCTCATCCTGGCTTCTCGTCCCCAGGGAAGGAGAGAAGACTCAGGCCTTGGGGATGTGGATTTGCCCAGAGCTCCAGGGCGAGAATGGGGATTTCGGGTCACCAGAAAACAGAAATGAGAACCAGACAGGGCTGCAGCACCCTGGGCCTGGGGACTTTAGGCACGCCGCAGTGATTCTGCAGCAGAAGGAACAAGGAGGACTTTACCCAGGGCACCTCTCTCAGGTAGGCAAGCTGCATACAAAGTGCTTTCCCATACACAGTCTCCTTTGGACTTCTTAACTCTGGGGGCTAGGAGATATTGTCTCCAATTTTCAGATAAGTACAGTGAGGCTCAGAGAAGTGAAGTGACTCATTCAAGACTGCACAGCTGGAAACTGGCAGCTCTAGAGTGAGGTCTGGCTCTGGGCCCAGAACTCTCACTGAGGGAGGGTGCAGTGGGCGCAAAACCAAGGACGCTGCGGGAATCTGTCTACCCCATCACAGCAGGCCCTCGGGGGCAGTCTGGAAGGCGAGAGGAGAGCAGCAGAACCTGTCCTTCAGAACATCTCCTTCTTGGGCCTCCAGACCCTCTCCCCGCAACCAGTGCGTGTTCCTGCAATTGCCCTCCGTCTCCCCTCGACGGGGAAGCTCTGGGCTGGCACAGCTTCCATCAGACTGCTTCCCAGCAAGCAAACCTGCTCACCTTTGACCTCGAGATTAAGCTTCTTAAACTTCATCACTGACAGAGGTCGGTTGGAGGCCCCATAGAATAAATGCAAAGATTGTTTTGAATCCGAAAGGTACTTATTCATCATCTGCTCCTCCTTCCCTCAGCTTCAAGAAGTGGAGTGGTTTGCCAAAGAGGACACAGGTAGTTAGTGACAGCCGGTCAAGATTGCAGATATTCTGACTCAAAGGAGTCTTTTTTTTTTTTTTTTAATTCCCACCCTGCCCCACCCCCCAGGCTTGGGCTGCTGTGTCAGGGCTATTCCCAAAACAACACCCTTTGTTCTCTGGTCACCTGTAGGGACAATGATCTTGCTAAGCAATACAGCAGGGGGGTGGGTGGGGCTGACACGCAGACCCCTCCCCTGGCCTCTGGCCTGACTAATCAATAATTAATGGAAGGTGCTGTAGATTCCCTGAAACCTTCCCCTCCCATTTCTCGTCAGTCAGGGAGGAGGTCCACAGTAGGTGGGCCAGTGGAGGTATAGTATGCGGGGCCCCTCTGATCAGCAGAACTCAGTGTCCTAGGCCAGTGGCATCCCCCCAGAATCAGGCCCCGGCCAGGGCCTGGTGCCCTCAGCCTGCCTGGGAAGACTTCTCCACCTCACAGCAGAGGAATGCAGCGTCCCCAGCTCTGGCACAACACAGACTCACCCCGCTCGCTTCCCAGCGGCAGCAGAGTTTAATCCATTTTCTGCTCCATTTTCCGTTGCATCACCAGCTGAGCTTACCCCAAGAGAAGAGATTTATAGACCATTCTCAGAAAGGGGTTATAAAATCTCCCCTTCTTGTCATATTTCTAGAATGTTATGATTTTGTAAGTGTTAAAAAGCAGCACAATTAAAATTAAATATAGAATTAACATATGATTTAGCAATACCATTTCTGGGTATTGAAAGCAGAGACTGGAACGGGTCTTTTACACCCATGTTCCTGGCAGCATTATTCATAATAGCCAAAAGGTGGAAGCAACCCAAGTGTCCATCGATGGATGAAAGAATAAGCAAATTGGTGACTCTATGCAGTGGAATATTATTCAGCCTTAGAAAGGGAGGCAATTCTGACACATGCTACAACATGAATGAAACTTGAAGACATTACGCTGAGTGAAATAAGCCAGAAACCAAAGGACAAATATTGTATGATTCCACTTATATGAAGAACCCAGGGTAGTCAAACTCATAGACAGAAAGTAGCATGGTGGTTCCCAGGGGCTAGGATGGAGTAACTGTTAATGGGTATGAAGTTTCAAGATAAAAAGAGGGGCCGGCCCTGTGGCAGAGCGGTTAAGTTTGTGTGCTCCACTTCAGCGGCCCAGGGTTTCGCCAGTTCGGATCCTGGGCGCGGAGCATCACTCGTCAAGCCATGCTGGGGCGGTGTCCTACATGCCACAACTAGGAAGACCCACAACTAAAAATATACAACTATGCGCCGGGTGGTTTTGGGGAGAAAAAGGAAAAATAAAATCTTCAACAAAAAAAAAGAAAGATGAGAAGAGTTCTGGAGATGGATAGTGGTGACGGTTGCACAATTATGTGAATGTACTTAATGCCACTGAACTGTGCACTTACAAATGATAAATTTTCTATTGTATCTATTTTACCATATTTTCTAAAAACATCGCAGTTATAAGATTAAGCAAACCAGGAGCTTGAAAATTCAGATACACAAAATAGATGTATTACTCAGTAGGTGGGGAAGGGGAGATGACTCGTTACTGAAAGATATAACATGAAATTCCTTTAGAGAGTAGACTTTTTAAGATGCAACATACAATAAAATTCTATGTGTGCAGAC